ACGCGCACGTCGTCGCCGTCTGTCCGGTCGGTCAGGCGGGCTGGGCTTGGGCGCGGGTGCGTGGTGTGAAGTTGGGTTCGGCTTGTCCGACTCAATACTTATCCTTTTTTGCCAAAAACATTTGAATTTTATTTTATTTTTTGATAAAATAAAATTAGTCCAAAGTTTTAATTTCAAATTTTGGTGGGAAAAAATTCAAATTTGTTTTTCACTTCTTCCAAATTTTTGTACAGATTCAAATCTGTTCAATACAGTTTTTTATCTGTTCAAAATTTAAACCCAACAGATTTGTATTTGTTCATTCAAACCGAACAGGTATGCTACCTGTTTAATTCAAACTGAAAAGGTACCATTGTATCTATAAATAGGCAATCCCTCACTTGGTTTTTTCACTCCACTTTTTATCCCAAATTCTACCTGCTCTCTCTGCATTTTGCTGCATCATTTTCCTTGTGAGAAATAGTGTAAACACTTAGTATGTTCGTTGTGTAAATAATGTGTAGTGCTGCTACTATTCACTGTTGATCATTTTATCCTGGAAGATAGACGTCCACAATCTGAAAGCACCGTGGAGAGAACGAATTTGTCTTAAGGACACAGTGTTAAACACTGTACTTGATCAAAAAATTTGTTCGAGAAATTAATAAAATAAGTTGTTTATTTATTTTCTATTTTTATTTGTTTATATCATATTTTGATTTTGTTTTTTGTAAACAAAATAAAAATCTATTTTTTATTTATTTATTTATTTTTATTTATCGGTTTGATTTTTGTAATCAAACTACCTCTCTCCTTTCCTTTATTTCTTCTATATTACGTTTGTTATTAAGTACACAAACAAAATTTATTTTTAAAATGCAATGAAAATTGTCCAACATATACAAGTGCGCTTATATATAGTGAAATTTTTTTATTTGTCTTTTGACCTCTCCATTGATGAAATTCTAGTTCCATCCACGAAATCAATGATTAAATATTTCACTTCTCATCTTTTTAAAGACTATTCTTAAGATGTTAGTCCAATAATTATGTGATACATGTAGAATTTTAAGATTATATGTATATAAAAATTAGTCGGAATGGACAGGGGTAAACAAAAAAATCTTAAGAGTAAAATTTTTTTGTGAAGTTTCACAAAAAAATGTTTTGTTTCTGGCATAGCATGCATGAAGGCAAAGGAGGTATATATATATATATATGTGAGCTCATTTTCTTTTGTAAGCTGATGAAATTAGTTTTACTTCAAGACTAGATAAGAACTTCCCTAACACATTTAATTTTTATTTATTTATAGATGATTCACTGTTTCTGCTAATTAAATTTGGTGGAAAAAAGCTAAGTGACGTGAGTAGTTCTTGACTTCTTAATCTGAATGTATTTGAGCTACCAATTATTAATATATGATGTTACATAAGATTTGAACATAAAAAATTTATTTTCAGGACTAGATTAAATAAATTGAACCAAAGTGTGTACAAGTCAAATTATTTGTGCCTTACAAGGATTGATTATTTCTGTAGTTGTTTGTTTCTTTTCTATTTTGACTCTTTCTCAAGTAATTGTTAGTGTTTGGTTTGCAGATTTGTATTGTTAGACTTTTTTAAATGGTTGATTATTCAGTTTGATGTGATTGTATTGATATTTGTAAAATATTATATTCCCATACTGATTGATAACAATAAACTTCAAAAAAAAAAAAAAAAAAAAATCTCTATATTATGCTAATAAAATCATTTTGCTACAACATTATGGCCATCAAATAAGTTATTTCAATTTGCCTCCCAAAAAAAATTTTGGTGATCAAATGGTTTAAGCGACCAACATCGATTCATTGCCATTTTGTCACCGAACAATCATCAGTGTTGATTTTCAACGATCAAACACAATAATCGTCCTCAAACATTGAAACCTTTAGCATTAGTTTTGGATCATTGATAATAATCAAATTTATAATCGAGCCATTCCTTCAAAGTAAGAATGCAAAAAGAATTTGTGTTTCCAGTTTCTAAATAAAATAAAATAAAAAACAAGAACAGACTTTGAAGACCCCTAAGCAAATCAAAACCAACCAAAGTAGAGTACTTTGGTGCCATAAATATTAAGTTGTTTGGAGGATCATTTTTTAGTTTGTGTCTATTTAATTAGGGTGGTCAATGGATGATAAATACAGTAGCAGCCCTCACAATTCACACCTTTTTTTATTAAAATCAATTTAATTTCATTGTCCCCAGACTTTTGTAATGACAAGATTAAACCTTTTTTTTCCTTCTTAGTTGTGTGGTTAACCCTATGAAATATAATTATTCAATTTTTTATTGCTCTTTGGAGACTTTGAGGCCAAGTTGTGATTATTCTATTCAACTAGGTCAATGGTTTAGATTAGGCATTGAATTGGGTAATTTAATCTGAGATTTGAGTTGTATTTGCACTATAGAATTAATTACTTAATTTTATGAAAATTTAAAAAATTGCTCATTTTGCCGCAACTTAAGACCAAGTTTTTTTTATTTTTTATTTTTTAGCTTAACAGCCTGCATTTATAGATATATCTTTTTATTTAATTTTTCCTAAACAAAAAGACCAACTTAAAGTTGATTTGCAAAAATTGTTTGTTTGTCATCCGTTAAAAAGATCTAATGTGAGATCAATTTTTTTACTTATAAAAAAAAATTATCAACTTCCTAATTAATTTTTTTAACTTCTAAAAAAGCCCCCCCAAAAAAAAATACTAAAAAAACTCTAATGCTGTGTTTGGTTGAGAGATTTGGGAAAGGATTTGGAAAGGGAAAGGGAAAAACAGTGTGAAACTAGGTGAAATGTAGATACATTTTATTCACATTTCACCTAACTTTTCTTTTTTCCTTTCTAAATCCCTCCTCAAATCCTCCAATCAAACACAGCGTAAATGAGTGTATCATAACTATTTTAGTGGGAATCATATCTAAGTCTTTCAAAGTAAGTAAAGGAAGAAGACTAGTTTAGAGATAATTGACTTAACCATGTTAATTTATGGAGCCAGCCATCTGATAGCTGAAATGGATGTTTTGTAATGTATTACTTTAAGAAGATTATTTTAAGTTGCAACTATCACATATAAGCAACCATGATGGAGACATAAATGGTCAACTTAATATTCCATTTTCTTAACAAAATTTAGTAACAAATCAAGTGCTATCTGTTGCCCTGACTTATAATATTAAGACCTTAAAACATTATTTTTTAATATGAAAATAATTTTCATAAACAAGTGATAGTGCTTAACCATAAATGTTAAAAATCCTAAAAATTTTACCAAAATTTTTATGTGAGTCCCACACCCATGTATTTATTGTGTAAAAATTTTAATAATTTTGTTAAAATTCCTAACATTACTCATGTTTAACAAGGTATTAAGATACAAAACTTTAATACAATCTAGTTATTTTTTCATTTTTAAATATATAAAAAATGATATTCCATCTCTATGATGGCTTAGCGGTGTTTGGAAAGCCAAAAGTTAGCTTTTTTTGAAATTACAAAAAATAAAATAGGTTAAAATAGTCAATAAGACAAAATGTCACATTAAATCCATAATTGTTTTATTTTTCTCTCACAAACATGACATCCAATTACAAAAAAATCCAACTCTCTTTCCAAACACAATTATTTTATCCTACTAAAATAGCCAAAAACTAAAATAGTTTATTAAAATAGCTAACTTCCCAAACGAGGCCATAAATGGGCGAAAATTTGGGGACCCAACACCACAATTCATTATCTATACTATATATAGGGGTGTTTTGGAAAGATAGTTAAAAATTAACTTTTGATTTGTTTTAAACTTTTTTAATGTTTCATGTGAGAGGTGATGTGACTCAAAATAAATTAAAATTTGATTTTTAACTTTTTTAATATGTTGACAAAAACACCCCATAAATCAAATGTCCTTCCAACATATTTAAAATACAAAATTATAGAGATGAGGTTAAAACCCAAAGACTTTGAGCCTACTGCAACACAAGTTTACTTTTAAATCAAAATCAAAATTGATATATTTCAATTTTAATAATACATCCATCGGCATCAGGTGGACAAACACCACTAATGTTTTGATAAATCTTACAGATAAATCAATTATGTTTTGAGTATTTTGAAAATTCAGTTAAAAGTCATTTTTTTAATTTTTTGACTTTTTAAATTTTTAGATTTTTGGATTACATTAATTTTTTTACTTTTTATATAATTTAAAAAAAAATAAAAAAATCAAAAAATTAATTTTTAGCATACTTTTCAAAACAAGCCAAATAAGGCCTCGTTTGGGAACAGGCTAATTTAGTAACTTTTTGGCTATTTGGCTAAAAAGGTAGGTAAAAAAAACTTGTATGTTTGGAATGACTTTTTGGCTAATTACGAAAAGATGTGCAAAAAGTAGAGAGAAAAGAGAATCTTTGACTTTTTGGTATGAGTTGTTGGCTTTTTGACTAATTTAGTAACTTTTTGGCTAATTGACTAAAATAGCCTCTTGCCAAACGAGGCCTAAGAAGGTACTTTTTTTTTCAACTGGACAAATGATAGCTTACAGGGTAACCCAATAATTGCGTCTTTGGCAAGCTCGGATCCATCAAATCAAGCATATTCTCCCCTTAATGGGCTGCTAGAAATTCCTGGATTTGGGCTTCTGTCTAGAGCATCTTTGGGCTTCGGTATAGGATATGTTTGGTTCTGGGTTTTGATTTTGTATAATCGTGTTTGGTTCACGTGTAAAAACTTTAGTCAATCCAAAAATCACTCTATAATTTATTTATGAATATATTTGTATAATAAAAGTTAAATTAATAAAATATAAAATTTATGAATAAAATGAATTATTCATAATTAATAATTTATTTTTTTTAAAAAAAATGAATTATTAATTATTTTTTGAGTAAAGTATAAGGGTTTATAATGTTGTTAATAATTTTCACTTTTAATTTATTTTATTGACGACGTCGTTTCGTGGTTTAAGACCAACGGGGAAGTGGTGATTTGGTAAATCGACCGGGCTCCTCCATCCAACGAAGGCGGCGCGAGAATCCGGTTGAGAATTAATCTGTATTGTATGATTTTTGTTTGTCTGGGAATAATTTTATCGGCCATCTCTCTGAATCGATCGTGGTTTCGATAAGGGTTTCAAGATTCAATTGCCGAGAATTCGAGCGATGGTGAATCCATCACCGTCGATCGACCAGAGCTCCTCTGCCACAACCATTACGGATCTCAATATCGATTCTCTGGTCCACTGTGCTACCTACCTCAACCTCCGAGACGTCTCTAGCGTGGCCATGTCCTGCAAATACCTCAGAAGAGCCGCCTATTCTGATTCAATCTGGAAACGCTTTTCCAGGTCCCCCTCTCTCCCTCTATGTTTCTGTGTTTCAAAGATGAAGAGAATTTGCAATTGTTTAATGAAAGACGATTTTCATAAATGTATTGGACTACCTAGTTCATGATAATGAAAAGCATTGCAGTTTCAAGGACTCATAACAATCAAATTAAACCATTAGAAAAACTTACCAGAGATCTATATCAATATTTCGATCAGACACTTTAATAAAATATAATGACTGATGCTTAAATGGGAACAAGGAACAAAATGTCTTTTTGTTTCCATCACCATTGCCTAATGCTGTGTTTGGCTTGTGGATTTGGAAAAAGATTTAGAAAAAGAAAATAGTATGCGTAATATGAATGAAATATACTACATTTTACCTAATTCATACATTTTTCTTTTCATTTTCTAAATCCCTTTTCAAATTCCCAAACAAGAAAAACTCAAAACACAACGATATAATAAATTGTGTTATCATGAATTGGAACTCCTTATTTTATTGTATTAACCAAAAAAAAAAAATAAGTAGGGATTTTTGGTGAAAAGCCCCCTCCCATTGGCCTTTTTTGTGTGAAGCCCACGTAATAAAATATTGGTTCCAAAAGTCTCTCAAATAAAAAAAATATGGTGAAAAAACTGAAATATCCTTCCATAAATATCAAACTATGGAACTGTTTGTCACCCTCACTCTGTTTCATCACTTGAACTTTGTTGTTTTGAAAACAAATAACAGAAGTACACAATAATAGAGTAAAATTTTACTGTCATTGTATCCAAAAAAAAAAGAACAAAATAGACACCAGAGTAAAATTTTACTCTCATTATATCAAACAAAAACAGAGCACATACCAGAGTAAAATTTTACTTTCATTCTGTCAAACAAAAACAGGATTTCGTCAAACAAAATCAGATCATACGCAATAAAAAAAAAAAAACACACTAATCAACAAATTAACATACCTGATTGAACTCAAACAATAATCAAACACGTGATTGAAACAAAACCTCTAAAACTCCATCAACACTCACGAATCTCAATGAAACTCTCTAAATCTGATATAGATTTGTACATATTTGAAACGCAATCTCTCGTTTAATTGAGAGTGTTGATCATTGATAGCGAGATCATGTATTGTTGACCAAGGACGAGATCTTTAGATTTTGAGATTGTCTTCATGGATTTCACAGATCCTCCTCACTGATTCAAATATATAAAATCCGTGTATACATGAGCTCAGATTTTCAAATATGTGATATATATATATATAGAAGGGCAATATGGTAAAAAAAAATACAAATTATAGAATGTCCTTATTGTGCCACGCGTCTCCTACTCAGAGGCTTTTTGAAGGAAAATTCATTGAGTTGTCCTTTATCCTGAAAAAAGGTCCAAAAAAGGGGGTTTCACCAAAAATTTCAAAAAAATATTAGTAATAATTTATTTGACTATACTTAACAATTCTTTGCTCATTGCACCATTTACCTTTTGACTTTACAGTTGTTCCTTCGTATGAATGAGTAAATGAGTCTATGAACCTAGTATGTTTATTTAATTAGATACGTTTTAGTTTGTGTTTCTAAAAAAATTCATGTATATTCAAATTATTTTTCTCTCTTTCAAAATGTTTCTGAAATTGTTTCTGTGCTAGCCGAAACAACATATGGGGGAAAAAATTGATCCTTGATTAGAACTTAAGTAACCTCATAAAAAATCAAATGCTTGCTGTTTGTTGTGTTATGAAATTTTCAGGGAGCAGTGGCCAGAACAAATATCTTCTAGCTTTTCACAAACATCAAGCATGAGGGAAGCTTACTTGGCTAGGCATACTGCTTTGCATAAGTTTAAGTTTTCTGATCCCTTAGTTGCTGACTTCTATACAGAACCAAAACCTTACAACCATTTATTCTTGAACACAAATGAAATCATTTTCTCACAGGTATGAAATTTGCTTTCCTTCATGATTTTTTTATTTTTTATTTTTTATTTTTTAAGTGCAATTTAGAAGTTTAGTAAGTTGGTTGCAGCACAGGACATTGATTCAATGCTTTAAGATTTTTCTAATAAGCATCTATTATTTAAGTTGCTCTATACTTTCCTAAATCATCATTGATCTATAGGTTTTTAGTTTGCTGCAGAGGCATGTAAGTGGCTTGTCTTTGTCATTCTCTGTATTGTGTTTTGTAATCTGAATTTAAACAATAAGTTATACATTTATCTCACTCCCTTTTATAATGCGTTCTCAAAATTTTCCTAAATATCCTCCATTTTCCATGGTTCTTTCCAGCTTCTGGACTATTGATATGAAGTGCTTTTGAATTGTAGTTTCTTGCTGCAAGCCAAGTCATTTATTGTCCTGTTGTTTATTGTATGGCTTTAATATGTGCTACTCGATTTCTGAGCAGAGTTCACTGGTACATATGATGAGGATTGATAGCTTTTTGAGCGGAAAAGATTTCCTTGTAACACTGAGTGATCATCATGCTAGAATTACTTGTGTGAGGTGAGAAGTTGGATCATATTCTCTTGTTTCATTATAGATTTGTTTATATTTTGCATGTCGTTTACGTGCATTATGCAAATGTTGAGATGGTATGCCATGAGTTCTTCTAATCCCTGTATTCTTTTAATGGTTGATATTTTAACTCTCAAACTTCTTCAGTTGTAAGCATTTTGCTTAATTCTGACAGTTGCATGTGTTTTTTATTTTATTTTTTATGTGACTGTGTTAGAACTAAGCAAAATGTGTGCAATTCGATAACTTTGCCCGTTTCTTTTTCCTTTTCTTGGGCTACATCTATATTCTGTGTGCCTTCGGCCACTGTTTACTCAATAAATGATTCTTTTTTTATTAGCACACATACCTGATATACATCTTTTTTTGTCTCAAATCCCTTCATAGCATGCTGATTTGTTCTCACATGCCTAATATACATATATTTTCACATAGTGGGCATGAACAAGTGTTCTTTTCTATTTAGTACGTGATGTGATCTTCATATCACATGTTCAATCTTTTGTGGGTGAAATGCATGTGTGTTACAGAGAAACCTAAAATTGGAAAGAAAATAAGCTTTCTTTGGCATAATTTGCATTTTTATTTGCCAATGTAATGCATTATTTTGTGACAATGGGAAGTCAAAAGATACAGAATCCTTCTTCCTGTTAATACGTTGGCTTTGCTTGGTATTAGTTTAATTCATTGTTTTGTGACAATTGGCTATGATGATACCATATGCAGATTGTTTCCCCTCTATGAAACATCTTTATTTCGAAGTGAGACTCAAAGAAATGAAAATGTTTTGGTAACATCAAGCTGTGACCATTCTATTCGTCTATGGTGGAAGGTATTGTGAAAAGTAATGTTTGGTTAAGCTTTTTAGGCATACTTTGTTCTTGGATTTCTTGTTGATTGAATTTGGAAGTATCCACATATGTGATGCATTGCCTTAAATCAACTGGATGGAATCAACAGATATGTTCAGTAATACATTCATGCATAAACCTATATATGTTTTGGTGTAGTGGTACCATTACGTTTGTTGGTTTTGTTGTTTTTACTATTCCGAGTTTTGGTTCCAGTATAGAATATATAACTAATTTTTTGGTCATCACTTTACATCACTGCCATGTTTTGATTCTAGGGAAATTGCCAAAGGTGTTTCAGAGGTCATAATGGCCCTGTTTCCACCCTTTCAGATAAACTGTTGGGTGATGGTAGTGGAAAAATATTTGCCAGTGGAGGTGTAGATGCAACTGTTCGCCTTTGGTCTCTCAGCTCTAGTGGAAAGCGTGGCCAGCATGCTTTGAAGGCTACACTATATGGGCACGAGAAACCTGTAGTACTTATGTCAGTTGCTGGGTATGTATGTGTTGCTCAATATAAGTTTATGCAGCTCTTATTATTTTAACAGTTTTAATTGTGAAAGATGGTTGTCAGATTTACTTATTCTATTTTAGCTGTTGATAGATAGATTGCTATACTTCAACAATGAACTAATTATCAAAGTTTCATGCAACTTAGCTGTTGACCCAATGCATGTACCGTTTATTTTTTCTTTCAGGCACAAAACCTCTCTTTTGGTGAGCATATCAAAAAATTCTAAGGTATCATCATCTTTTAACGCAGGCTCTGATTCATGATTTTTAGTTTTACTAGTATCAATCTTTAATTAATATTTAAATGTATATTCAAATTTTTTTCATATCCTTGGTGCTTTTGCCATGTTGTAGGTTCATAGCTTCTAATAGATCTAAATCTTTTGCTTTTTAGGCCTTTATCGTGTCTCACTCACTGCATAAGTGCCCTGCTAAGAGGGTGCGTGGGTGCAATTGTGTCCAATTTAAAATACCTAGTATTTTGTTAATATTTATTAAAGGAATTTTCATATCATTTTAAAATCCTTCTGCTTTGTCTCTCAATATATTTTCTTCCAATACGAATCACTTAGTTATACACTTATTTTAAAATCTGTAAAAAAATTCTTTATAAGCAAATGATGGAGATGACAAAGACGTTTTGAATGGATTTTCTTAATTGAAAATCAAGGAAGAATCATTTAACATTTTGGCAATCAAAACCCTCAGGTAGAACTCTCTATCAGTAGTGACATTGGCGTTGCTGGTCTGCTTTCTTTTGACCTCTAATTATGCTCAAAATTCTATCCTTTGGTGGTTCAACTAATATTTTAAGGGCTTGGCATGTTTTCATCCTTTCTGAATGCTTCAAGTTTTCTATGTTTCTCAATGTTACATTTCTCTCCTACTCATCACCTTGAATACAGAATGTGACAGCTACATCTTGGATCTGTCTTATTAGGCAGTCAGAAGCACCCTATGTGCATCGTTTCTGCGCATTTAACATATAAGCTGAGCAAATCAGAGCCAAGCTGAGCTTCTCTGGAATTTAGGGAGATAATATTGAGCATATCTGTAGGGTGATTGTTCAGTATTTGGCTCAGCTTGGTTGATCTACAGTCTATTTAGCCACAAATAGAAACTTTGGTGACGTTGATTACTGTGTGTGAGATAGTAGTAGTGCTAATGGCAGTGAAAGCACTAATTTTTCTTTTGGTAGCAGATGTGGATGTGGAGACTCCCAAATTGTGGTAATTTGGTTGTATAGTGGTGGTGGCCGTGGGGGGGATGCTATCCATTGGTGAAAAAGAAAGAATAAAATATGAAATGGTGATTGGTTTTTCTTTGTTATGTATTATTTGGGGTGGGTTGTATTTTTTATTATATCTCTCACTGACATGTGGGCTAAGGCCCAGTCCCTTCTTTTATTTCCCATGCACCAAAAAAGATTACAGCTTCTTTAACAAATGCAGAACAAACATTAGAATTTACATGTTGGTTGACTGTAACAGCTACTCAACTGATGGGTGGACAGTATTGCTGACCATTAAACTGGAAGGGAAGTCAAGATGAGAGTTATTGGCAGTAGTTTCATGCCTCAGGAAGTGTAGTTTATAGACGTTCAAATTCTAACAAGACAAGGTGAAGCATGGCTATGCTAGCCCAATGCCTGCCATGGGGTGATCGTTAAATCTAAGATAGGCAGTTTCCTAGAAATTTCTTTTCTTTTTTTCAGGTGTGCTATCAATAATTTGTTGGTTCATCTAATGATCTAACAATTCTATTGTCTCAATTAGGTAAGAGTTTGGGATACAACTGCATCATCTGCTGTTCGTTCTTCTTGCTGTGTGGGGGTTACTTCTGTGCCTGGTGCACCTCTGGATTTGAAATGCCATGAATCATTGGTCTATGTCGCTGCCAGTTCGTCTGTTGTGGCAATTGATTTGAGGACGATGCAGAAAGTTTTCACCACAGCATTCCGTCAACAAGAATTGCATTCGTTTGAAATTATGCCCTCAAAATCATTAATCTGCACAGGTGGAACTGACAGGTAACATGCCCTCAAAATGATCCTTCATATTAATTTAACTGAATATATAGTGCTTGACAGAGCAGTATGACAAAAAAATATTCATGTAACTGACCTCACTGGAGTGGGACACACGGCATAGTTTGGTTTTGCTTGGTTAACTATATGTGTACATGTGCATCCACAATGTGTTGTGTACATCCTTCTGACCAATGTTGGATGTCACTGCTTCATGGTCATGGTGTTGTTTTGAAAATTGGAAGAGTTATGTATGCATTATGCAAATGAAGTTCATCGATTATGCTTTGAATTTGAGATCTGTCCCTGGTGTTTCAATTATTATCTAATCCATTGCATCTATCAACTTGTGTGCTCTAATGTTGTAGAAAACACAGTGACAGGTTCAATTTCTATTGACTTGAAGTGTTTTAATTCTACTGCCCTATGTAATTAGACATTTCTATTAAAATGTAATATTTTGTAAACAAAATTCATTGGAATTTTTTTTGCGTGTATTACTTCCTTTAAACCTTTCAAATATCTAGTAAATGTAATTGTTTGTTTGACGAGTTCTGTTTTTCTTCTTCTTTTTACCCCCTTCTTCTTCTTCTTTTCTAATCAGATAGTGGGTGATGAATATATCTTTTTATATGTATGATATCTTGTTATGTATAAAAGAAGCTTTCTTGATGGATTCTATAGTATTAGAGTTGTTGAACTTGGGACTGTATTTTTATTTAAAGATGTTCTAGATATGATTACTGAGAAAATAATTGCAATTTGCAAATTAATTCTGCAGAGCAATGCTTTGGGATACTAGGAGAAGCAGTGAACCAGTGGCGGAGTTAGATGGGCATACAGGTGCAGTAACACACTTGCACATGGATCCGTATAAAATAGTTACTGGAGGCCCAGAGGATTCTTACATTAATGTTTGGGAGACCGATACTGGTTTGCAAACAAATTCCTTGATTTGCTCCTCTCCTGATGTTTTGGGTTCTGGGCCTTCTGGCCCCAGTTGTTCCGCAATGGCTGTGAATGGGTGTCAAATTGTTACTGCTGGTTGTAGCGAAGAACAGGGTCTTGTACGATACAGGAACTTCACCAATGCGACTTGTCATGTTTCATCAGATGAGAGTGAGCTTGTTTCAAAGTTTTGGGGTCCACAATCTTATAGTGATAGTGATGATTAGATTTACTTTATAGGAAAATTAAGGTAGCATTCGGTAGAATTTTGTAAATATGATTTAATAATAGAGTTGTATTTTGAGTTTGTGAGTTTTGGAATTATGATTTGAGTGTGGAAAATTTGCTTGGTAAATGAGTTTTGAATTGAGTGGAGAATTTTTAATATGACATATGATATTTGATACAAAAACTTATAACTCATAATTAAATACACAACTCAAAATAGTATTCAAAGTTCATAAAAAAAATTAAAAATTCAGAAATTTTTTATTTAAAATATAAAAAATAAAAGGTGGCAATTGTTAAAAAAAAAATGTGCACTGTTCTGATCAACCAACCGGATGTTCGGGGGATGACCGGTTAGTTCAAATTTTCATGCCTTCAACAGAGTTTTAAAAAAATGAGTGTAGAATTAATTTTTGAAAGCTATAAACAAACACCACGTTCAAAATAAAGGGTAGAGCTAAAGTTTGAGAGCTCCACCAAACAGAACCTAAGGTTCTCTTTATTTTATGTAGGAATTAGGAAAGATGTTTTGTAAATGGTGGGTGTTGTGATTAGTTGTTGTCATTAACAATTAATACCATTGATAAACAACTCTACCAAATTTAGTTTAATGTAAAGTTCTTGTTTTGTCAATAATGATTCAATTATTTTTAAATTTTCTATAGATAATTCAAGAAGACTTGAACTTGAAACCTTTTTTATTTGTGAGAGGAACTATGGAATTGAGATGTGTTCCATGTCAGGTATGTCTGCATGGGTTATCCTCAGTAGCAAGTCAAGGTTTTCTTGAGTTATATAATATAGTTATTGCATATCCATGCCAATTATATGGCTTGAAAAAAAAGTAATGTTACACCAACACAAAAATAATTCTTAGTAATGTGAAAATTCAGCCGGCCATATTAGCAAATAAAAAAAATAAAAAAATAAATTTGACATGTATACACGGAATCATGTTTTTATTTTTCCATTTCATTTTCTGTGTCTTAGGTATGATATGTAATCCTTTCCCTCCCAATGTTTTCCTGACAAAATAAAACAGAAAATAAATGATATCACAAAAATCATGAACTGATTTCACAAACAATGATACAAATTTAAGACAAATATCACAAAAATCAACTTCATATAAATCAATAAATCACAAAATATTACAAAATTAAAACAATACCAATAGATCAATACAAATGTAAATCAAGATATCAAGGTGAACTCAATCGCTTGTGAGAGTGAAGGGAGTAGATCATAAACCTATCATCGTTTATATTATTTTAGATCTCTGTTGAATTCATCTTTGATAGGATTATAAATTTGTTGTTGTGAGGCTCTACGTTATTTAGATTGTGATTTCACTATCATCATCTAGATTGTGATCATTAAGAGTAACTGTTATTCAAAGATTACAAGAATTATGATGAAAAAGAGTTAAAAGTTGTTAGTACCATTATCATCGTCTAAAGATTAAAAAGATAGTTGAAAAGTAAAGAGAGTAAAGAGATGGAAAGAGAAAAGTTATGAGAACGAGAGAATTCTCAAAACGAATGTTAAAACTTAAAGAGTAATCAAATATTATGAGTTTAAAATGCAATTTAAGAAGGAATAAAAAACAAATGGTTAAAAAGAAGAATATAATTCTGCCAAAATCACATTTGCATATGTGAATTAACATTAACCCGCGAATATTTTGGGAAGATGATAAAAAGTAATTTTTTGATTTTTAATCAAATTTTTGACTTTTTTAGATAAATGATTTGAGAAGTGAGTCAAGAGCCTCTCCTTGCAAGTTCCTACTTGCGCCCGTCCTTGCAGGGCCTTCGGGCCTATTTTTAGGTCTAATTTTGATAATCCGAACCGTTCATATTTTATGATTTATTCAGTATATCATAATATTTCTTTCTGCATATTGGCTTAAAAACTGTTTAGCCGAGATCATTTATGTCAGGCCGACGTGTTCTCTTCGGAGAATAAGAACTCAAACAAATTCCCCCACGCGCATGAGCTGTCATGCATCTCTTCTCAACCGTTCCCCTTACGTGTTCTATCTTTATTTGCCCGTGTCTGTGACGCACTTGTAAGCCGTCTTTCATCCGTCTGCGCCGTCTGACGCACACGTTCCTCTAGGCGCAATAAATGCCCTGTTTTGCCGCCGTTTCAAGTTTTTGATAAAACTTTACTTTCTTTCTTCGTTTCTTTACTTTTGCACTTGATTTTCTGGCTTTCTCTCTCTCTTAAACTTTCCCAAATCCGCCATTACTCTAGCTTCAAGCTCTGCAACCGTCTTCATTCTTCCATTTCAGCGAATCTTTCGCCGTTCTGTCGTGTCTGTAACCGTTGCCTTACCTCGGCGACTTTCATTTCGGCTTCATTTGTTCTGGTAAGCCTCTATTCCTCTCATTCCCAATTTCTTCTATGTGTTTTTGTTTACTTATTGCCATTATTGCTCTGTTCAAACCTTTGATTTGCTGAACTATTCATCTGGATGCATCTATCCCATGATTTCACTTATATTTTGAACACTTGCATTGTTTCAACACTTTTCTTGCCACTGTTCTTGACCTTTTACTTCTGTATTTCTTTCGCTTATGAGATCTATACCCCTGTTCTTTGATTCTGAAACGTCGTTCTTTGTTTCTTGTTTTCCAGATTTCTGCCTTTAAATTTTGCTTTCAATTTTTGCCTTCATAGATTTAGGTTTTGGTTTTGTTTATAGAACCTTTAATTTTTAGGGAAAACTGAAACAATCCTTACCAGCATATACTTAGGGTTTCGCCGAGGTCCCGATAACCCCTTAAGAGCACCTTCTTTCTGAAACCTATCCCTCTGTCTTTAGGCCGACGTTATGGTTATGTGGAGACATAGGGTAGATACCCCGACCAAACTTGAGTACTTTAGGCAAGAGTTCTCTATTCCTACCGATGTCCATCTGAGGCTCTCTAAAGATAACGACTCCATCATGCCCACAGATGAATCAATGCCCTTTCCCATAGTAGCTTTTACTGAGTGCGGACTTCGGCTCCCACTTAACATTCTCTTTCGCGAAATTCTTCACTTTTACAAGTTGAACCCTATGCAACTTGCCATAAACTCTTATCGAGTGATCAATGGCATCATAGTTTTAGCTAGGCAGGAGAATGCTAGAATCACCCTTACCGACATCCAGTACTGTTATACCATGTGCCCCCTTAACCTGAAGGAAAAAGGCTCCGTCTATTATCTTAAGCCGAGGTCCACTGAATTCAAACTCGTAGCCGACCTCCCAGACTCCAACAAGGGGGCTGGAGATGACTATGTTATTGCTTCGGAAAATTGGGAGTTTGGCGCAGACGAGGACGCCCATCTCTACCCTCTTCCCCGATCGGTTAAAGAGGGCAAGGGTAAGAGCCCAGTGTCAATACTTAGTTGTTTCTGTTCAAGTCTTCAATATGTTATCTGTTTCTAATGTCTATTTCTTCTTGCAGACGTTCGTAAGCCACCAAAAGACTTTCGCCAATCCTACGTTTCCAGCAAAGACTTAAAGAGGCTCCTGGATCTGCCAATCCAAAAGCGCAAGGCTCCACTGGTACTGAATTTTATTCCGACGTACAAGTCTACACTGCCCGACGTCCCAAAAAGAAAGAACAAGAGCTTATCTCCTCCCTCTGCTACCACTTTACAAACCGCATCAACATCTCAGGCTGACCAATGGTCAACCTCTGATCCAGCCGATCAACCATCAACTTCAGCTCCATACTTGGTCCCAATATGCGAAAAAAAACGTCGGCGAAGACTTGTCAAAACTGCTGAGATGGGTCGCCCGAAGCCTGTTGCCCAAGATCTCCTAGCCGACCTCCCAGTTGATGATGATGCTAAACCAACCCAATACATGCCCCCACCAAAGCCAAAAAAAACCAAAAAGGCTCAGCCAAAGGCCAAAGCCACTGTAGTTGAGAATGAAGATGCTCTGCCAATTTCACAATTGGCTGGGAGTGAGGAGACTGTTTCTATTCCCACAAAAAGGTCGGCTGAAACACAACCAGTAGAATCTTCAAAGTCAAAGAAAGCGAGGTCGTCCTCTGCAACGGCTTCGGGGTCCAAAAAACCCGACGTCCCCTGGGCTCCAAAGATTACTTTGGAGGACAGGCCAATCATGTCTAGTGAGAGCGCCGATGACATTAATGTCGGCGTCGCCCTTAGCACTGCTCTTCTTCTTCCAGGGGACCTAGAGCGAAATACTGAGTATAGTGAGTATGAGAACTACGCGTTAATGCTCCAGCACTCCGTTCAAGTAAGTGCTCCTGCTTTGAACTTTTGACTTTCTTTCTGTTTCATACTTAAAATATTTTCCAACACTTCTATTTTCTTTCAGGCCATCCAGCATGCCCATTCGTTTTCAATGCAATCTTTTAAGAATCGGGAAAGAATGACCGAGATGAAGAAGGAGTTTTCTGCCCTGCAGAAGACCAAGAAAGGTCTTCAACTAAAAATGAAGAAGCTGGAAAAGCAGGCCGAGGCTACAACTAAGGCCCAACAGATAGCCGAGGAAAAAGCTGAATCAGCCGAGGCCATAAGGAAGGTTGCTGAAGCCGAGAAGATAGAGGCCGAGGACAGAAAGGCCCAAGCCGAAAAGGAACTGCAGGAGGCCCTGGCCACCAAGGATGTCGAAATTAAGGAGGCCGATGAAAAGGCATACGCCCAGGGTATGGCTGACGTTACTGAAGAATACAAACTTCAGGTCAGGCAGGCATGCAACAGGGGCTTCTCCCTTGGGTGGATGTCCTTGATAAAGAAACTTGAGCTTTCTGCTGATTCACCCTTCTGCTGCCGATGCCATCCCTCTTCCCTTCCCACCACCTCCACCTCCAAGTCAACCTGAGGATGCTTCTGAATCTGAGGATGAAGATAAAGGTGAGGACGAGGATGAGGCTGAAATTTTGGTAAGGAAACCTAAGGATGCTGCTGGGACCAAATCCCTTCCGTCAAGTTCGCAAATCATGGACTTAACTCAAGATGATGTAGGTGAAGGGGTTGCCAAGGAAACCACTCTAGAGCACGCTTCGTCCGATGTTCCTCAAATTGACAAGAATATTGATGAAACTCTTGCCGAGATTGATGCAGAACTTGCAATGGAGAAGGCGGCCGAAGTAGCTC